GGCTCCATTGCCTTCGAAGACGAAGAAAAGGCTGAGTGCTTCGCGGACAGCGTCGTCGCTCAATGCTCTCCTAGCTCACAACCCACTGACCCCTTACACATCCAACTAGTGGAGGATGAGGTCCGACGCAAGAACTCGCCCCCTACCGCCTCTGACCCTATCACTGTGTCCAAAGATGAGATTTCATCTACCATCAAAGGACTTAAGCCCAAAAAATCACCGGGTGCGGATGGTATCTCCAACCAAGCCCTCAAACACTTCCCGGAGCAGGTAATCGCCTTACTGGCCATTATCTTTAACGCCTGCTTCGAATTCAGTTACTTTCCCACCTCTTGGAAAGAGGCAACTGTCATTGGCATTCCCAAGCCAGGCAAACCTCTCCACCTCCCCTCCAATCACCGTCCCATCAGCATCCTCAAGGCCATGGGCAAACTTTTCGAACGAGTCATTCTCGTGCGCTTGAGGCGCCATTTGTTTCCCACAGACGGCGACCCTCTTGTCATCCCACAACAATTCGGGTTTCGAGCCAAACACTCGTGCCCCCAACAAGTTCACCGCATAGTGGAATACATCCTCAGCGGTTTTTACCCTCGCCGTCAAAAAACCATCGCGGTCTTCTTTGACATTGCCAAGGCATTCGACAGAGTTGGCACGAGGGCCTTATCTACAAACTGTACGACTTAGGCCTCCCAGACCGTCTCGTTCGCCTTGTAGCCTCCTATCTGAAGGATCGTACCTTTCGTTTTAGACACGAAGGCACGCTATCCTCTACCCGTCAAATAAAAGCCGGTGTCCCTCAAGGCTCTGTGCTTGATCCCCTCCTATACATACTATTCACCAACGACATCCCTATCCCGTCGAATGGTGTCAAACTAGCCCTCTTTGCAGATAGACTATTCAAAAATCCTAGTCGAATGGTTCAAACTAGCCCTCTTTGCAGATGACACAGCCCTTTACTCCAAAGGCAACTCACTACCACAGATTCGGAACAAGATCCAAAAGTCAGTAAGCGACTTAGGAGCTTGGTTCCAAAAATGGCGTATCGACGTAAACCCGGAGAAAAGCTCCGCCGTTTGCTTCGAATATAAACGACGTCGTCTCACCACCACTCCGCCAATCAGGATGTTAGGAACCCCTGTCCCATGGCAAACTAAAACCAAATACCTAGGCGTCACCCTTGATGCAAGGCTCACTTTCGAGCCCCATATCAAGAGGTTACTCGCACCGCACGTTTTTACATGGGTAGGCTCAACAGCATGTTGGGCAGACACAGTAAAATGTCCCTCCGCAACAAGCGAACCCTATATAAGGTCTGCATACGACCTGTCATGACCTACGCGGCCCCCATCTTCGCACATGCTAAACCCAAAGTTATAAATGAACTTCAAATAGTTCAAAATCTATTCTGTCGTAGGGCCACTAACTCGCCCTATTATGTCCGTAATGCCGACCTACATCGAGACTTAGAGCTCCCAACAATCAAGCAGTTCCTTAAATCACTCTCTGAGAGATTTTTCAAAGCCTCAGAGTCCCACCCAAATCATCTCATTCGTGAGACAGCTGCCTATGCAGCCCCTATCCACACTCGCTATAGTGTGCGCAGACCGAGAAACTCTCTCTCGGACCCCCCCAACAAGCTTTCGGCTGACCTGAACTGCCTCCTGGCGGCTTAGGCTGAGCCTACATAACACATCCCTTAATCTGCCTTAGTAAGGCACTCTTCTAAGCGGCTTTTCGCCGCTTGCGCCCTCCTTTCTGCCAAGGAGGGTCGCGTTCGTATACGGCTTAGAGATCTCTAGACAGATCGTTAAGCCAATTCCTAAAAGGTTGAGTGTTTAGTGGGTAAAAGTCTCCACATAACCACGCAGCCGGCTGCGTGGTATGCTATGAGCATTCTCAACCTCCCTCCCCCGCTATCCGGAGGGTTGCCCATATTTGCTTCGGGTGCAAAAAAAAATTGCATTATAGAACATTTTGCCACAGGTTAGAAAGGGGGCGATCGTCTTCTCGAAAGCCTGATAAAAAGCCAACGCGTGCTAGAGAGACAACAAAATAAATTCCTTGCGTTCATTAATTTTGACAGTCCAGTGTATTTCGAATTGAAAGCCAACTGCCAATTGTTGACGTTACATATTATATGCTACGAGGTCATGCCCTGCGGAGCGCGCAGGAAATTTGAAATAGTTTGAAACAGTTTACGAGTTATTTTGTTAGTTGATATTATTGATTGAGCAGTTTTATAGAGCAAGCCTGGCTTCTGGGCTTCGCCACTGCCTTACATTTATATAAACTGTCCATTAATTTTTAAATTTCACGAATTCAAGCAAACAGATTAAAGTCCCACAGGGGAGATAATGCATTTGCATTTTAATTTTTAGTTTAGAATAGAAATAGATATAAATAGATAAAGAATATATTAATTTAGCTGTACTTTTTTATGGATGGCGAGCACACAACCCACCTGTTGGTAAGTGTATGCTGAGGCCCATAGACATCTACATCTATCCTCGATTAAGAATCAAAATACAGATGCGTTGTGGCCCTTAAAGATTAAGATGGAATGTCTCGTAACCAGTAAAAAGGGTCTCCGGTTCTCTACACTTATCATACATAACACAGCAGCATTGAGCTGCTATTTAACGTTGGTATTCTGTGAGAGTTATATTATTACTACTTCTTAAATAATCTAGTGGGGGCCTTCCTACACTGTATTTACCAGTACGAGTTACAAAAAACAAAAATATTCATGCATCAGAAAAACCTTGAAAGGTGAATCGAGGCCGTCGGTTATTTTTTAAGTCACAAATTATATTCGTAAATACGATAGTTAACCAGTTAACTTGGCTGCCATATAGTCAGGATAATACGCCTAATTTGCCCATACAATTTAAGGTTGCAGCGTGGGTTTTGCACTAAAAACTAGACCAACAGCTGGAAGCAAGCCTCTTCTCGTTTCTAAGAGGATTTTGGGACAATTAGTCCGTCACGCTGCTCCAGTCCATGATGCCGAACTTCACATTTCTTAGGAATATTCTTAATACTTAGGCATGCACGTTTCCTCACGCTTTTTCCTTCACCACCAAGCACGTGGCAAATCAGCACTTAACAATTTCACTGTTACTATTATCTTATTTGCAGTTAGGCAAGTTATTAAATTGCAATTAACTATTTCATTGGTCCCGTGCGATATAACCCGGGGTTTGTTTTATACGTACTTACGACGAATGTTTAGACCTTGGCAAACAATAGCTCTACTCTAAGTTTTCATAAAAATATTACTTTTTTTTGCAAAATGGCAATTTTGTAGTCAAAGATTATATACAGCTTTCTTCAAATCATCATCTGTGGGTGCAAAAAATAATATACAAATTTAAAAACACATTCAAAGTATTAAAAGTCTGATTCTTTATTTCTCAGCAATTCAGTCCTTTTCACTGAATAGATTGATAGATAACAGGTTTTGTTTATGGCAACATATTGATTCTCACAATACATCCCTGCGTTGTGCATATTAATTAACATCCATCATGCACAATCTTCTTCTATATGTACATCCTTCCAAAACTATTAGTTTGTGAGAAACATACGCTGTTAGAATCAAACGGGGATTATGTGCACTCTCACTGTATTCCAATAAGCATGTTCTTTTTAAGAAACTAAATATTTTATACTTGCAACACTATCAACAGAATTTTGCAAATTCACAAGGAAAGGATGATGATTTCTTAAATTTACGGGAACACTACACATTGAATAAAACTATTATTTAGGGATTTTATGATGATTTAAATAATGTAGCTCTTTTTTGTGCGTTTGCTGCAGAATGAAATAAATTTTTGTATTTCATATAAAGTTTCTAAAAAGAAAACCTCTGGTTCAAATATTAAAAGAAAAGTTTAAATATTTTATAATGATAATTGGATATGAACAATACAGGGTGTTAGTGTAAACATCGTTATCCTTGAAACCAGTGGTTTGGTTTCACTTATAGAACGTAACTTCAATGAAAAATAACAACTTTTTTTTAGTAAAATCTCAATTTTTCCTTAATTCCTCAATTTTTGCCTGTCCTAATAAGCCAGGATGAAAGTATGAAGGAAAAGTTACATCACAGGTTATGTGTACCTATTGTGTTTTTATTGGGATGTGGTGTAGGTAGCTAGCGCAGGCTTTTTTTTTTTGATCTTTACAGTGATTACGTCACTCGGGCGCATAGGGTATCCATGAATTTACGGACGGTGTCGGACAGAAACTTTTTAAATTTTATGAAAGAAGATAGCGTTTTTTTTAAATTCATTGAATTTACGTTCTATAAGTGAAACCAAACCACTGATTTCAAGGATAACGGTGTTTACACTAACACCCGTATAAAATATTAATTTATATAGCATCTTAATTGTAGTCATTTAATCAGATTACAGTAATTCATATTTCGTTAAATATTTATCACAGTATAATCAGTTGTAAAACAAGTGAAGCCAATTATTTATTATAATTTATAATAATATATTCCATAAAATAGTTTCATTTAAAGTGAAGCCAAGTTATTTTCAAAAATCATGTTGCATGTAGGCCAGATTTAATTGGAAAGTTATTGTATGCAAGAACTTATAGTTTTCATTGATGTCTTTCAGTTTCTATTATAAATACAGATATCAATCAAGTACATAGTATACACAAAACGGATAACAATATTACGATAATACAAATGTATGTTAGAATAAAATTCATCCCAACTTTTAATAAAGAATCAGCGAAATTAGTACTTGAATTAACTTTTATTTTACTGTAGGTAATAATTGCACTAGTGATATTGAAAGATATTTCTTGAAGGTCTCCTAGAATCCTATTAATTACTAGTGGGATTTGTTCTCATGCAAGACACTCACTACATAACTGATATGAGACAAAGTGAGTGCACACTGAACTGTAATGGTAAAAATTCATTCTAGCTTATTGAAATTAAGTGAGAGGCTCGATGGGGCTGGCGTTTTACGTCGCTACGAGTGTGTTGCCTCTTCGTCAGTCTGGCGAGTCGAAGCACGGAGACAGTCTCCATGGGCCTTGTACTCGATAGGCACTGAAGCTGGAAGCTGGAGGATTCTTCTTAAGGCGTCCCTCACTCTTGCAGCTGCCGCTGTATCCGATGCCGTTTTGTGCCATACAGCTAAATGGTCCTCCTGGAATACAGTTTAAGCTTTGTTTTTGTACTACATCTCACTTTATAACATTGCATATGTTAGAACTGTGCAAAATACTTTTAACTTTTGATTATACGAGGATGGGTTACTTAAGGGACACTTAAGGGAAATGTAATTTTTTTAAGCATAAGAAAAGCAAACTAATATAATTAAGAGCTGGCAATCAAAATAAATCTATGTTCCTAAAACTACCAACCACCAGTTAAGTGTACCAATTATGACAATGTCCACTATAATAGCAAGCTGATGTCCAACTATAGAATTTTACGAACATGGTTGGATTTCATTAATGCAGCTTATTAAATATCAATTGTTGAAATACCATACTCTAAATATTACATCTAGTTTCTGCGATGTTAGTACTGTCAGCTAGTTGTCTTTTACAGCTTCATGGGCGTCAGGGCTGATGATGATGGCAATTACGTCCTAACTTTAGGTAATGTTATGATGGTCACCTATATGAAAACCAATGAACAATGTAAGATGGAGTTATCCGTACACTGTATCTTGTATTGTTGTTCTGGGTGGTGAAAACTGCCCAGGCACTCAAGTGTGCAGTGCGTACGCAGTGTGGAGGGGTGTGTGGCGCGTGTTTGTGACACTAAGTGAATAAATAGTGTTGGTGTTTGACGAATTAGCGGAATTTGGGTTGTTGAAAGCGAGATTATAAATTTATTGAAACAATGTAAACCTGGAAGCGCACGGAGAGCACGACACCACACAGCTCGGGTCCAACCATGAACTGTTCTCCCAGCATCGCCATGCAGAGGTCCTCCCATGCGCGGCCCGTTTGAGACTTACGCAACCGAACTACCTATGAATACATTTTTTCCTCTTTTACATCCATGGTAGACATTTCTTCAATATATATGGAGTTTTTATACACATTTGTCACAATAACGGACAAACAGCGCTTAGTCACAATGTTGCCTGATATTCTAACATTAATTTACACAATCATACACTATGGGTTTCATGGGATGGGAAGAAGTGTCATCAAATTACATACCTACTTAATCAGCTTTTTTGGTGCTGATTTGGCTAATCCTTCGAACACATATACACACATAAACACTCAAGCCTGTCACCCAGAGGGGTAGGCAGAGACTACAGACTTCCATTTGGCACTGTCCTGACACACCTCTCTCGCTTCCTCCACATTCATATATCTACGCATACATGCTCGTTGGTTAAACATACTCCTAATTTGGCCCATTTTCAATATCGAACATTTTCTGGTCTAAATATACAGACTTTTAAATGGATTAAAAGGCAAGTTGAGAACCAAATAGAATAACTTTTATTTGATATAGATTACAAGAATACTCACATAATACATAAACACTAACGCCTGTAACCTAGCGGGGTAGAGACTATGGATTTCCATTTGGCACGATCCTGACGTACCTCTCTCACCTCCTTTACATCCATATATCTACGCAAACACGCTCGTCGGTTAAGGGTACTTCTAATGTGGCTCATTTTCAAAATATCGCTAATTCGGTCAATAAACTTTAGTCTAGGGCATTCCTTCTCGACTCTGCCGTTCACATCTGCCATATAAATTAGCTTTGTCACTCTTTCCTCATTCATTCTTTTTACATAACCAAATCGCCGAAGCATTCCTTTCTTAATCCTGGTCACATCATCTTGCATACCACATTTTTCTTTTATCACATAATTTCTCACCCTGTCATTCAGATTCAACCCTAGCATACACCTTAAAGACTGCATTTCTACAGCATGTATTCTACTTTCGTGCTGCTTCTGCCACACCCAACTTTCACTACCATACATTAAAGTAGGGATTAACACGATATTATGAATTACCATACATGCCTTTTTTGACACATTCTGATTCTTCATAATAGAGTGTAGAGCCCCATTCACTCTATTTCCTGCATTCACTTGTCGTTCTATATCCTTATCATATCTACCATCCCTGCTTAATACACATACCAAATACACAAACTCATCCACTTGCTCAATCAACTCCCTTTCTATTCTTATTTCACATAACATTTTACTTTCTTCTCTTTACAAAAACCATCACTTTCGACTTACTTGTGTTCACTTTCATTCCCCTGTCTTTTAACGACAAGAATACTTAAAGTTAATTACACTTTTTAATACTGGTTTGAAAAAAGCCTCTGTCATGGCTTAACATGGCACATTAATTCATAATAAAATATGTTAAACAATTAAATATGAAAATATTTATAAACAACACAGTAGGGATTATCACTCATTCTCAGGGGTTATGATATAACATTACAAAGGTAAAGAGTATGTGTAACATTACTTACAGCACTATATTATATTTTGCACAGTTTTTAAAATACAAATATTGAGTTATTGCTTCATAACAAATCCACTTTATAATAAATGGACACACAATCTCAGATAGTAAGTGATATTAATTTAGTAAACTCCATTTTTGTTAAAGACATCCACATTATAGTTAACAACTTTTAGTTTTACTGATGATGTCAAGATAGTTATATTGTTCCACTGGATATGTTAAAAACGTATGTAAAAGTAGATCCTTTATTTGTTAAATGGGGTTATATGAATATGAAATCATTTATAGGAATGTCCTTATTACACCGAAGAATTTGCAGCATTCACAATTTAATTTAATAAAAATCTAAAATAAGTTTACATCCCATTTTGTCCATCTTTACTCACCCACTTTCCACCATTAACATTGGCAGGGTCTTCCCACATGGGCTTAATTCCTAGCTTGAAAAGGTGAAGGTCGGAGAGTGGCGGCAGTTCAGCGGGCCGCGCCAAATGCGTGTACAGCCCCCACCACTGTTCCACGCTCGCCACGCGACCCACCAGACGTAACGCCTGGTATTGCAAGCAAAAAAGAATAGTCTTGATGAATTTATATATTACCTTGAGAAATACATACAGGCAGTAGTAGTTTGCCTAAGAGTATGGAGAGCCATAGACCTTGTAATGAGTGTATTTTTATCTGGTGCAATTACTCTATCAGCTGAACAAAATACCTCCTACTCATCTTCAACAAGCTCTGTACTACAAAAACAAAGCAATTAACTTATGGCAGAGCTTGCAGTATGTCGCGAGATGTCGTTATCGCGAGATCTCGGCCTTTTTAGCGAGATTGATCTTGGAAAAAAAAGGGCGAGATCTCGCGAGTTTAACGAGATTGCACTTGAGCATAAAATCGTGTTATTCGAAGCGCAAACTGACACGGACGGGGTTGCGATCCGTTGGTTATCTGGCCAACAAAATAAGAAGCCGTTTAGCAGACGATTCTTTGAACATCTTGTGCTTCTTAAGGAGTTACTTTCAAAATAATTCGTTATAATGGCTTGTGATTTGTATTGAACAAATCTTTCATTTGATTGGTATATTTTGTTAATTAATCTGTAATTTCTAATAGTCTGACTTATTGGTATATTTTGTTAATTAATCTGTAATATCTAAAGAATCTACTGAGTAGATATAGTTTTATTTAATTGATAATAATATTTCAGTTTAATAGTCAACTCAACTTAGATAATAAGTTTTATTTTTTTGACTTCTCATTGTTTTGTTTGTTATAAAAGTACTGTTTTATTGCTAGAAGGTTTTTGTTAGATATTAGAAGACTGGTTGTCTCTTTCATATGTTATTTGATAGATACGTACATCAGTTTACTACTTAGAAGTTTATTAAAAATTATAGACAGATACGTCAAACAATATTTGATGCATAAGGGCCGATCCTCATTTGCCGTTCACAGTTAGTTCTTGGTCTGATTTCGGTAAGATCTTGGTCCGATTTATTATAATGGAATGGGATTCAACTGAAACTTGATTGTTACCTGATAGTATGAATGCAAACATATATTTTTTACTTGATAATATTCTATCAGACCAAAATCGGACCGAGAACAAACTGTGAACGGCATTATAATGAGGTTCGGCCCTAAAAGTCTACTGCAAAAATTCGTGAAAATAAATGTTTATCTTATAATACTTGTAATTTTTATTATTTTTCCTAATTTATTAAAATATTGTGATTATTTGCAAAGAAAACACACAAAACTGCCAATCTCGTGAGATCTCGAAATTGGCGAGATCTTGCAGTACCTATTGTTATTCATAAACTCATGGGATCACATTTGAACCCCAATCTCACGAGATTTGCATTCCCTATATGGGGAGTGATGAGAACTGGAGATCCTTTTTACTGGTAAACATGATATGCCATCTCAGTCCTTAGGGTGTAGCAACACATCTGCAATAAGCCGTATCAGCTACTAATCATTGTGGAGTTAATTATGCTTGTTTACCATCCTGATTTTTTAAAAAATCTAGTCAAGCACAATGATTGCAGTTAACAATCACAGTAGATAATATTCCAGTTTGATTCCTTTGTTAGCACTACCAATACCACACAACAAATTACTTTAACAGTGGTAGAGCCACACGGCAGCTTTGCTGTTGCATGTATGGGCCGGCTCAAACCGGGGTGGTACCACGACCTCACAGAATACCGGCGTGAAGTGGAAGCTCTGCTTCCGCGTTTCGTCTGGTGAGTGCAGGTGGCCGAAGGCCCAAATCCCCCCCCCCATCAACATGGTAGCGGAATTAAATAATGATAGACTACCCCAGGAGGGTACCAGCACCCCTGGAGAATCCCTCGCTGAGCATCCACGACCATGTTTCTCCACTTCTGAGCGTGGGTGCTCAGGCTGCCCCGCGTATTCTGGGGGGGCGGGGCAAAATTCCGCTCAAGACTACACTGCTCGGGGCAAACGGAGCACCAAGACCAAGGCGACCCCTGCCACGCTGTCCCTGAATTTCTGCAATATCAGGGGACTTCACTCTAACCTAAACGCCGTCCACTACCATCTTGAGACGGCGAGGCCGGCTCTGCTCTTTTTGACCGAGACGCAGGTTTCCTCTCCAGCTGATGTCTCGTATCTCTCCTACCCAGGGTACAAACTGGAACACTCCTTTGTGCCTCGGGCTGGAGTTTGCGTTTACGTCAGAGAGGACATCTGTTCTCGACGCCTCGGCAGACTTGAAGGTTCGGACCTGTCCATCCTTTGGCTACGCGTAGACAGCGACGACCATCCGCGCGTCTACGGGTGCCTCTATAGGTCCCATAGCGGTAATGCCGAAACAGACCGACTCTTCGACCACGTCCAAATGGCTACAAATTCGTTGCTACAGCAGATCCCCTCCGCAGAGATCGTGATCCTCGGCGACTTCTAACGCCCATCACGCCGAATGGCTTGGTTCACGTTTAACCGATCATGCGGGGAGATCTGTTCATGATTTTGCCTTGGCATATGGTCTGACACAACTGGTTACTTCGCCTACGCGGATTCCAGATGTGGAAGATCATGCACCTTCCTTGTTGGACCTTCTGCTGACCTCTCACCCGGACCGATATTAGATTTCCGTCGAAGCCCCTTTAGGCTCCTCGGACCATTGTCTTGTCCGGAGTGTGGTGCCACTCACGCTGAAATCGCAGTTGCATTCTGCAGGCTGCCGCCGTGTTTGGCACTATAGGTCAGCCGATTGGGATGGGATGCGGTCTTTCTTTGCATCCTACCCTTGGGGGCGGGTTTGCTTCTCGCCGGACGATCCCAACGTTGTTGCGGATTCTGTCGCTGATGTGGTACTTCAGGGTATGGAACTTTTATTCCTTCCTCTGTGGTACCCATTGGAGGCAAATCTCAGCCATGGTTTGGTCGCTCCTGTAAAATAGCATCATGCTATATGCGGGAGTGCTACCGAGCCTGGGCTGACGCATCAGCGTCCCGGGATGTAAACACCAGCGCTATAAAAAAGAAGTATAATTCCGCCTCTAGGTCCTTCAAAAGAGTCATTGCCAAGGCAAAGTCAGAGCACATAGGCAGAATTGGCGAGAAACTAGTTCGCCTTCCTTCTGGAACCCGTGCATTCTGGTCTCTCGCCAAGGCTGTCCAGGAGAATGTCTGTCAGCCATCTCTTCTATCTCTGCACAGGGAGGACGACTCACTGGCCCATACCGCAAAGGAGAAAGCCGATCTTCTAGGCTCTTTGCGTCCAACTCGACTCTCGATTGAAATAATACTAGTTTTTACGGAATTTATCGCGTACATTTTAACTTTTTAAATACCCGACGTTTCGAACGCTTTACAGCACTCATGGTCACGGGCAGGACTGAGATGTTCAACGTCCATATGTCATAGTTAACCGCGGTTACCATAGATTAAAATTTAATTTTTGTTCCGATCTATGCAGTATGAACTTATGGTATCTAAATTGGGATTAAAGGAGGCAGTAGAGTCAAAGAGAAGGCATTGGCCGTTAGTTTTGACATTTCGAAGGCCTTCGATCGGGTTTGGCACAAAGCGCTTCCTTCGAAGCTCCATTCCTATGGGCTTCCCGAGATATCGTGAGCACCAGCTTTCTTGCAGATCGAAGCATCAAGGTTGTTGTAGACGGTGCACGCTCCGATTGCAAGCCTATTAATGCTGGTGTTCCACAAGGCTGCCTGCTATTGCCAACGCTGTTTCTTCTGCATATCAATGATACGTTGCAAACCAGTAACATTAATTGCTATGCGGATGACAGCACTGGTGATGCTCTGTACACCGGCCGTGCCAATATTTCTCGGGAAAACGTCTCCGAGTAACGGGACAAACTTGTGTCTAAAGTCGAGTCTTTGTTGAACAAAGTCTCGGATTGGAGGCGACTAAATCTAGTCCAATTTAATTCTCAGAAGACACAAGTTTGCTGCGTCCCCTAAAAACTTTAACCAAAAAGAACCCCTTTGTCGTATCTCCTCAGTTTCAAGGCACTCCCCTTGTTGCCTCAACCAGTATCGGAATCCTCGGCATTGACATATCGAGTGACGTGCAGTTTCATGGTTACTTGGAAGAGAAGGCCAAATTGGCCTCTAAAAAGCTTGGGGTGCTCAGCAGACCGGGACTGTATTTCATGCCGGCACACCGCCTGCAACTTTACAAGGCGCAGGTTCGGCCGCACATGGAATACTGTTCCCATCTCTGGGTTGGGGCTCCCCAGTATCAGCTCCTTCCACTTGACCGCATTCAGCACAGAGCGGCTCGAATCGTCGACACTGAGTGCTTTCCGATCAGCTCGATTCACTGGCACCGCAAAGAGATGTTGCATCTCTTTGCATTTTATTTCGCATATACCATGGAGAGTGCTCTGAGGAATAGTTCGGATTAATCCCAGCCGCCAAATTTCGTGAACGCATTACGCGGCAAACGTCCCGATACCGTCCACACCATCTGGGTGCTTGGCGGTCCACCACAGTACATGTCAAAAGGAGTTTTCTTCCGAGTACAACCTCTCTGTGGAATAGTTTACCACCGGCGATTTTTCCGGACCGATACGACCTGGGGACCTTCAAGAAAAAAATTTACTCCTTTCTAAAGGTTTTGCGGTTGATCATGGGCGGCGGTAGTCACTAAACATCAGGTGAGCCGCATGCTCGTTTGCCCCCTCTTCTATAAAAAAAAGACATAACAGGATCTAATTGGTTGTATTTATACTAATTGTCAAATTGATATACAGTTACACCCCGCTTTATGCGACAGATGCATTTGTGGCAGCGCTGCCGTCGCAACACAAGTGAAACATACTGATGCCTAAATTTCACTGTCAAAAGTTCTGAAGTAAAAACAGTATATATAGAATAGCTCCGAACTATAACACAGAGCGTTGGCTGCTCCCCTAGCAGAACACCTTGCACATACATCAGGCCAATAAGTCTATACTGGACATGGGCTTCTCCACAGGGAATAATTTGAAGTCAGTGTAATTAGTGATTGCAAAATCTTTTGTTTTACTTTTTCTTTCTATGTAAGCTCATTTTTTTTTATTTTCCTTTTGTCAACTTTTACAGTATCCAAGGAAAGAGAATTGTGATTGATTATTTTAAGCCATCACCACATACCCAAAAAATCTGTTCAATTCTGTAAAATAATTTTGCTCTGAAACATATTTTCATTAATTTAGTTGTATATTATTAAAAATAATTATTATTATTAGAAAATAACATACTAGTAGCTAAGTTCATGATTATGAATCTTAATCTTTGGAGATTTTGTCTAGTCTACACTTGAAGGTGTTTTCTGTGGGAGCAATCATTTCATTTTCAGGATTTAATCACAATTGGTAATGTGAAATGTAGATATCAAACATTCAGAGTTCCATTTGTAAGTATAAGTAGGATGCAAGTAGACCTTAGGACTAAGTCGTGGAGATGTATGAGAAATATCACCCATTTCATACTATGAGGGTTGCAAGAGGTGACTATGGAAAATGTGAGGTGTAGAATATCCCGTATGGCAACAGAAACAGCATTCAAGGTGCGAGTAATTTGGAGCTGTAATCTTCAATTTACATACCAATTGTAAAAATTAGGGCTAATCCTCCCCACAAGGGGCTCATATCTAACAGTAGATTTTTAAGTGTTGATTACAAAGGAGGATGAGTAGAGAACAATTATTTGCTCGAATGAAAACTTGTGGGTGCTGTGCCCACAAGTTTTCATTAGTATAATTAGTAAAGTGTATAATTTTCTGATATTTTCTATGTTAGGGTAATATTTGAAATAGCACATTCCATTCCACTCACTATTTAATATAATATAATATAGATAGCATTTCAGTTGTAATTTAATAGATAGTTAAAACCAAGTTGCGTGACTAACCTGGCCATAGCCAGTGGTCGTAGCAGAGAGTTCACGAGCAGGCGGTCGCCGTGAAAACCACATCCAGTAGCTATACTCCAATTTGTGCTCGTGCGGCGGCACGTATGGCTGCACAACCCCGTCTGGATTACGCTCTTCGTCATCACTGTTGCCTCCGTGATTATGTGCACCACCCTCACCTGACCCAGACCGTCGCTCAGGCACGTTTAAATTATAGAACTTGCACATTTTCCTTTCAGTCATGTTATGCCAATCGCACTAACATGATTCCTTAACGGCCTAACCCTAGGTAGGACACGTTGCTTTCTCTATGTATCAGACTTTTGTAAGACGTAATTTATAATTTTATAGCTACACTAAAGAATATTATTGAATCGCCTAAATATTATCGTATTTTATTATAGCAATAAATAAATCATAATCAGCCTATTCCCTCTTTTTCTATGTTTAACCTTTTTCTTTCAGTCATCAAAATTGAAACTGTCAAATGACAGCATGGATATGGAATAGGGAGGGAGAGGTAAATGTAACGTTTCGGTCATAGTTAAAATTAGTTTCGGTTTCGGTTTCGGTATAATATACAATTTTACTCCGCTCTGTCATGTAAAGCGTAATATGTTTATATCATGTAAACAGCTTGCAATTCTAAAAAGACAGAAAGACCATTATCACTGCGACCTGTAAGATTTATTGTTATCGTAATACAGCAATATGAAATTGACCACACAGCTATTTCGTTTTCGAATAATTAAGTGAATAATTGTAATTTTTTACGGTTTGGGTACACTCAATTAATTTTGAAATAAATAATTTTATGGTTCTTACCAAAACAGAAAAAATTGAATCTAGATTTCTAGTGTGAAATAACGATTCACTGCTAAATATCGATTTAAAATAGATTTCTTTCGAACATAAAATCGATTAAACGATCTGAGATCGTCATGCCTAGCCAGTATACCGTTCCAGTGCATGAAACACATACTTTGTTACACAGTGGCAACTATGGTAAATATACCCCCTATGAGGCAGTATATGGAGGAGGCCTATGAGTGACTACTTTATACGTGGTAGAGCCATGCTGCAATTATATTAGTAGTATAGTTGTAGCACGAATGGGACGGCTCAACCGGGGAAGGACTACGCTCTCACAGAATACCAGCGTAAAACAGTAGCTTAATGCTGCTGTGTTTCGTATGGTGAGTATAGAGAGAACCGGAGACCCTTTTTACTGGAAACGAGACATTCCATCTTAGTCCTCACGAGTGACAACGTATCTGCATTTTGATTTGTAATCGAGGATGGATGTAGATGTCTATGTGCCGCAGTAAACACTTACCATCAGGTGGACTGTGTGCTCGTTTGTCACATCATTATCACCATCATTACAGCCCTTCACAAGTCCACTGCTGAACATAGGCCTCCCCCAAGGTATGCCACAAAGCACAGTCCTGAGCCACCTGCATCCATCGAATTCCTGCATGTCTTACCAGGTTGTCACTCCATCTAGTGGGGGGTCGCCCTACATTACGCCTACCGGTACGAGGCTGCCACTCGAGAACCTTTCTTCCTCATCGGTTATCGGTTCTTCGAGCTATATGGCCGGCGCATTGCCACTTTAGCTTACTAATCCGTTGGGCTATGTCGGTCACACTGGTTTTACTGTGGATATCTTCATTTCTGAGTCTGTCACGCAGAGAAACTCCGAACACAGCCCTCTCCATAGCTCGCTGAGCGACCTTGAGCGTTCTCATACGGCCAGCAGTGGAGGACCACGTCTTAGATCCGTAAGTCATCACTGGCAACACGCACTGGTTGTACAATCTAGTTTTCAGAGTTTGAGCCTGCTGCCCATCTCCTGCCTGTTTCCCTCTGTCGCCTTTTACGACACCCACGGGAAGATATGGGGTGGTGGATATTCTTAACCGCCATTACACGGCAAGGTCATTAAACGGCTCTTTTATCACCCTATCCTATAAAAAAATATTCGGCTGAGGCCTTTAACAGGTAGGAACGGTAAGTGTTTCTTATATAAGACTAGCTTTTGCCCGCGACTTCGTACGCGGATCCTGTTGCTTATGCCAGCGACAACGGGGTCGTCAAAATCGAATTCAAAGAGTCCGGGGACGGGAAAACAACGTGATGCGCGAGACGATTCGAGACGTTCCAGATCTTTAATTTTTGTAAGTCAACAGGAAATGCCCATCAGACTAAACAACTTTTGCTAAGACGTCATATATGTTATAATGTCGCTGGGCTTTGGAGTTCCACAACAGGTGTTCCAGATCTTCAAATTTATTCTCACAGCAGAAAATACTCTTCACGTGGAATATTTTTTGCTATGGCACCATTTTTATATCTCTTATACTTTAGCTGGTCTGTTGCGGTTCTGCAGCAGGTGTTCCATTTTCCAAAATAAATTATAGCTTATATGTTGCCTAGACTTAACACCTATACAACAAAAAACTTTTCATCCCATATATTTCACCGATCCGGTGCGGAATGCACTACAAAAAATTCTTTATAAACTATAGCTGTACACGTGGCTTTGCCCACGTAGCATAAGTATTTTTTTATTCTATTTTTATTTTAATAATAGTTTGTGATAGTTTGTTGATTTACAGAAACACTCAAAAGACGCATCCCATACTTATACTAAAGCTTAGATACCTACCTCAGAAACTATTTAGCTTAGTAAACTCAAAATTTGAAAGTTAAATAGTTAATTTATTTTTTATTAACTTTTACCAGTAAATAGTTAATTTACTGGTAAAAGTTAATAAGGAAATTTTGGTGACGTCGAATAACAGAAGTGTTATAATTTACTGTAACACTTCTGTGTAAACAACGTTCGTTGCTTTTCCCTCGGTCTCATTCAATATGTACAGCGAGTCAGGACTGGTGACGCGGGAGCAAGCGACGTACAGCTGTCCGTGTGAGAAGCAGCTCGTCCTGAGGTCGACACCCGCAGCCTTCAGTGTCTGCCCCTGCGACTTATTTATTGTCATGGCGAAGCACACGCTCACAGGAAACTGCACGCGCTTGAATTGAAAGGGTAACTGTGGAGAATCAGTGGTATACGTGGTATAAACACTGTTTCGCCGACACCACAACCCGTTAGAATTTCCGCCTCAATGATATTTCTATGCAGCGAGACGACTTTGAACCGGGTCCCATTGCACAGTTTTGGCGGAGTGAGATTCTGAAGAAGCATGATTGGGGCGCCGACCTTTAGCTTAATGGTGTGCGCTGGCAGTCCACTTGCACTGAGGGAATTGAGGAATTCTACGGGGTAATGTGTGGCGTCATCTTGGTCGACCACAGTGTTTACTGAAGTGTAGATCACTTCATTTCCCTCAATTTCGGCGAGAATGCATTCATCGATCTCTGAAGCTTGGTCGTTTTTGGGTGTTAAAATGGCTCGTTCACACACCCAAGAATTATCTTGGTGCGATATCCCCGTACACCAGGCGAATCAAATCTTCTAAGGTGGACACCACTCTCCCAAGTATCTCAGGTAGAACCACCTGGCCACTGTCTACTGGTAGCGTTTCCTCACCCAATTTTAAGAGAACATCAGAAAATTCTTGGGCGTGTACATTCCCTCCAAGCTGTGCTGTCATATTCATCGTTAAGCGAAACCTATGAATATGTGGCCATAAGAAAGAGTATTTCAACGAAGCATTCACCTCATCAGCCCTAGTTCCTCGCGTCACCACAGGCAACGTTTGTCGGAAATCGCCGCTAAACAGAAATGTAACGCCACATATCATTTGCTGGTTCCTGCGGATATCCTGCAAAGTCCTGTTTACCGCCTCTACTGCTTTTCTGTTCGCCATAGTGCATTCATCCCACACGACTAAAGAGCAAACTTTAAGCAGGGTGTTTCATTACTCTCTAAATCTATGGGAATTTTAAACATTGCATGCGCTGTTTTGCCACCAGGAAGCAGTGTTGCGGCGATTCCTGACGATGCTACTGCAATGGCAATCTTGCTTTGCCTCCTGATCTCTGTGAGAATGCCAGTGGTGACAAATGTTTTCCCTGTTCCACCAGGAGCATCCAAGAAAAACATTTTACCTTGGCCGAGCCTAACGCTGAAAGCGTTGGAAAGGATGGTGTCGAAAATTTGCTTTTGCTCTGAGGTAAACTTACAGACATGGTCATTGACGACGGTACTCATAGCTATTGGATCATAATTTATTTCAGAGTTGTGCTCTCTGATTCCATGCTCTTGTACATCCAGATGATGTGGAGTCGGTAGCCCATAATCCACCAGAGAACTGCCGCCGATCGAAATTACTATGTCTTGAAGTGAACTAAGGCAACTGTTTAGAACGCGCTCATCAGTTGCCTCAGTATTATCTCCAGTAGTGCATCTCGGAGCTCTTAGGAAGTCTAGGAGGACTGTCACTAATGCTGGCCTCCTCAAGTGCGTTGTCCCAGTGCTGATCACCGTCGAGAAAGTAGGGTGCTACGCAAGCAGCGCGGTATGTGGGATACTGAATGTCATCGACTGTCCTTAGAAACGCAAATGATGTTGGGCCCCGCGCTGTGTGCAGTAACATTCGCAAATAATAGCATTCGCTATTATTTAGGTGCACAGTGTAAACACGTCCCAATGCGGTGTCCTTAAAAATTCCCGGAAACCCGTCCACGGCGTGTCCGCGTCGACGTCGATTAAATTCACCTCCTTGCTTGTCGTACGTGTAGTACGACGGCACCTCATCATAGGTGAGTGATCTAGCAAAGTTGTCCCCTTCACAGAGTCTGAAAAAGGCCAACAGAGTGGTTTGGCGCGGATTTTCCAATCTCGCTGCAACGATATCAGGATCAAAATAAATGCGCTGGCCATTCTCTAAATGGGCATCTAAATGCATGACTGTTGGATGCCAGTCGTGTATGAAGAAGGTCAGTATCCGCCAAACCGCCTCAGAAGTGCTGATGTAGCGACCAGATTGGTACTTGGTCACTTCATCCCTGTCAGTACTCTGTAAAGCGAACGTTGCCTGGTCACTACCTTTGTTGACGTATTTACAGATGTATAAAATCGACTGTACGCTTGTGCACGACTCGACGTTAATGTGGGTACTGAACGTCCTGGAAAGTACAGGTGAGTATGGAACTATCCACCTGTTGTCGATCTCGACTGCCTGGCCACGCATAGTTAACTCGGCACGACTGCCACCCTCAGCAGGAGATCGACGCCGTATGAAGGGTATCCATCCTCA